CTCTAATTTCTGCATTCAGCAGCTTTTGATTTGGAGCCAGACATCTTGTGGAGATTGTGTGCGCCATGCGTTAATTGTTCAAAATACCTATCCAAGAGACTCTCCGTTTCTTGAGTTTCTTTCGTTTGTTGTTTGGGATTTGATTGTTGGTGAGTTTTGGTGTGTGTGTGCACATATGACCAATGTGTGTTCTAAGTTGAATTGTTGGAGTTAAGTGTGGTCAGCTGTGTGCTGCACAAGTTTTCCTCTAAGACAACACAGCACTGAATTCCTTCTTTTTTTTTTTCCAGTGACAAGTCAATTACTTGTTTAAATTCAGTTTGAACTCCCTGAACTAAGAGAGGCCAGAGGAAGCAGGTTTTCCTTGTGAATAAACAAAAGAAGAAAAATGGAAAATCATTCCAAAACAATTAAGAATACAATTAAGCACTGCAACAATTGTGATCTCTTTTTTGAACTGGCAAATGTAGGGCCTGCAAAGTCACTTACCCTCTAGCTTCCTAGCTAAAGAAACCCTGTCATCAATGATATTTTATGACAAACAAATGAAAGTGTGAATTTTCTTTTACCTTAAAGTATAAAGTGTCCCCATGACCACATCCCCAAACAAATTGTCCCCTTGCTTCTGCGAAGGACAGTAGATTGTCCTGAAATGTAGACTCCATAAAACAAAAACTTAAATAATCATAACCTGAGAGCTACCAAAGAATAAATCTGGAATGTAACCCAGAGGTTTTTTTTTTTTTTTTTTTTAAGAAAAACTCAGCTCCTCTCCAAGGATGAGTTTGATGAACTTGACCAAATAATGTTTGAGATTTTTTTTTCTTTACGCATTAGCAGTGTAAATGCAAGTAAATTCTAATCTTGCTTAAATAAAAATTTCAAGGCTTTATTTCTCTCCTGTAGGAGAAATGTTCTTTTGCAGAAGAAATCAGTGCAGTTTCTTTTAAGTGTTGCAAATGTCAAATTGTACCGCTGTTTTGTCCTCATTCAGGCCCTGAGAGGCACCAGGCATTACCTGGTCTACAGTAAGTACAGTGTAGCCCTAAATTTTGATTGCTAGAACTGCTTACATGTTCATCGAATAATAATTTTAACAAGTAATTATTTGGCCAAATTCCACATATGTAAAAATATGGCAGTTCCACAAAGAAAAAAACCTATGGCAAATGAAATTGAAAACAAAGTGGCAAAATTTCCTCCTAATGGTAATTTAAGATCACATCATCAGCCCTCGCCTGCATGTGCATGTGTTAAACCGTATAGAGAAACCTGTAATTATTGTAATTGCTCTTTTTACTTTATACTAACAAGCTTCAAACCATGTTTCAAACTAGTTGTTTTGAAATAGTTATTTGTCAAGTCATCAAATCCCAGAAAGTAAATGGTAATGAGTTCCCATGTTTATATTCTATTGGTCATATCATGCAACTTTTCAACCCCATAAAGTTCAGAAGTGAACATGGATATTAATTCTTATATTGAGATTAATTCGTTCTGATATTGAGGCAAGCCATCCCCCCCACCCCGTCTTTGTGATGCCTGCTTACAATGAAAAAATAAGACCATTGGATATCAAAATCTCTCAGTTGGAAATACATTCTTAGAAGAAAGTTTTCCTACAGCTGAGTGACAACCATAGTCAGCAAACCAGTTTTTAAAACTAAAACTTGGGAAATGGAATATTCAGGTTTTTGTCCATTTACTGCAGGAAGTTCCAACATCAAAAGATTAATATTTAAATAACAACAATAATAACATTACTTAGTACATTTTACATGTGACTCTTCTTTTGAAAACCTCACAGTTGATTGGGGCAGCCACACATAGGTGGCCATTAGGTTTTAAAGCTTCAGTAGTGTATCAATTATGCAAATGATATTTGGTATTTTAAAAAGATATGTGCTTATATTTTTAGAACCATGGCTATAAATGAATGCAGCTATTGAAAATGCATTATAATTAAAATGATTGCTTAGTTGCTATTGCAGAGGAAAAAAATTGTTTAGGTCACAAACTAATAAATTTTTTCAATTCCCCACTGATTTAAAAAAAAATACTCAAGGAAAACTTCCTTTTTTGTAAGCTTACTCTTTGGCATATAAAACATTTCAATTTACCCATTTTAAAATGCAAATGAAAATTTTACTTGTTTCTTCTGTACTTAATTGCTTAAAACAAAATTCTGTTGGTTTTGTTCTTTAGATTTAAGCTGGTAAGAATTCACCAGGCGCTTAATCTCCAAACTGTAGCTGCATCTTGCTCTCTTGCCTCTGATTAAATTTCCAAAATCCCTGCATAAGATTCACAGATGGCAGTTTGAACATTTCTTGTGAGACTAATTTCTTAGGAAGAAAATACATATTTGGTTCATTATACTTAATTCCCGATTTCTGGTAGGTTTGAACATCATGAATACAGTGTTGATCATTGACAAGCATCTCCTCATTGTGCTAGGGGGATGGCATTGTTTTTAGAATCAGCAGGAAGGACATTGGAACTGGGGAAAGAGGGTCAGAAAAAAAGAAGAAATAGCTGGTACACTGTTTAAATACCTTTCCAACTGATCTACAGGGTTTGTGCTGCAGAATCATTTCTTTCCTGTTCCACTATGAACGTGGTTTGTGTTACATTCCTTATTCACCTTTTTTGGTTGTTGCTTTGTTTTTTGCTAAAATGGAAGAATCACTTGAGAGGCTTGAGGATAAGTGGTTTCTTCCTTATAACTGATGTTTTAAATGACTTTAACTTCATTTGATTATAGACACTGTCATATTTCATTATGAATGCTGTAGCTGTAGGTGTTTCCAAACCTGCTTGAAACTTCTATCACTGCTCTGCCACTAAGGGGGGGAAAGTACTCATATCATTTGTTTATTGACAGGTCATGTATGAGCTCTGCTACCTGCCACTAGGAGATGCAGTGAGAATAAAACAAAAAGCTTAATTTCTGATCCAGTGACCAAAGAGATTTTATATAGGGTTGTGGCAGTTTTAAAAGTTCTTCAAATTTGGATATACTTTTGCCTTAAGAAGAAAATGACATGGAAAAATGCTTTGCATATCAAAACTAAACGCATGTCTTGTACCTGTGAGAATTTCAAGTCACACATGCAAAAGGTGATTGGGCTGGTTTTTTTCCCCTCCAGTATTGCCTGTTGCCACACTTACAAAAAAAGCTCATTTGTTCATAGTCAATATAATTTGAAAGTGATTTTGGATTGTTTTCTGAAATTTTTATATATCTAATTAGATTTTTCATTATTTATTAGCCTTCAACACTTCCAACTCTGAGGTGACTCAGAGTGAAATTGTATGTGATAAAAATTATTGATCATTTGAAACCAAAACTGTGTATTAATAAAATATTTATAATGTGTTCAGGAAATCAACATAGTCTTAAAAGGGGGGAAAAGCAGAAAAGCAGTTATCTGTATACTAGGAAAAACAAATGAATAGTGATAAAACTGAAAGAGATACTTTTATAAAATAATTGTACTTGGAAGAGTGATTAATCTGCTAAAAAGTTATACATGGAATTTTCAAGAAACTTCCCTCTTGCATACTTTTTTAGCATTTAAAAATCTATAATAATCCATTTGCTACATTATTGTATCATTTTAGGTAGACCGTATACATATTACTACATTTTTAAAGCAAAACAAATGCTTTCCTGTGAAGAGCAGTTCTTAAGGTTCCGTTTACTGCTTGCAGATTGAAAACGGTTTGAGAATTGTGCATTACTCCGCTTGGACTTGGTGAGGGGCTTTCTTCTTTGAAATGTTGAAGGTCCAGGACTTCGTTTCCACCCTGCAACCTTTTATTTGCAGGTGTATTTATGTCACAACTGATTGGAATGTTAAAGTTCCCATTTCTGACATTTTTGTCTTGAAATTCCAAGTTACTTTCATTTCTTTCCTGGTTTTATCAAATTCTTCATTTCTTAAAGATATCGGGCGCTTTATTCCAAACTGAGTCATAGGGACACTACAGCTCTAATACTGCTTTAAACTCAGTCCCTGTCCCCCAGTTGGGATAAAGAGTGAGTTTAAAACAACTGAGAAGTCAGAGGTGTGGGTCATGTGGAGGAGGGTCTCATTTCAGGCTCCACCGAAAAAATGCAGGATTTGGCTGGCATCCTCCGGGGACCTAGCGCTGTGCTTGCTTAGAGACCAAATTACACTCATCTCGAGAAAGGGCACTTTGAGGTAATTGGTGGGATGGTGGGATGGAGTAGGGAAAGTTGGATTCCAGCTGCTTCCATTGTAGCTGACCTGAAAATGAATAGGGGATGTTAACAGTGGAGGCTAACATTTGACTTGACTTTTTCACCTCCACAAACCTAAGGGTGAGAATTATAGAGTACTGAATGACTACACCAATAATGATCCTGTTCAAGTGTGAATTGCTGTGTTGGGAAAAACTCTCACACCATCTTAAAAAT